ATCAAATTTACAGTTTAATAATGTGCTAACTGCACTCATATTGAACAGCGTCTTGCTCAAGGACACTTGGACAAGTGGACAGGAGGAACTGGGGATCAAACTTTGTGAAAAATAGACATCCTGCTCTATAATATAATATAATAATGAATATGATGCATTGTTATACATGAAATTACACAAGAATTTAACACGCCGCTACCTTGACCAGTTGCAACATTAAAATGCTGCTTTTACCTTTATGAACTGAGCTACATAAATAAACCTTCCCTAATAATAATTCAATAATGTATGATTTAACACTGACAAGGGCCATTTCACAGCCCAATCAATACATTCACTTCTGGTACTGAAAGTACATTGTGTTACAAATACTTCTGTACTTAAAGCAGCAACAGGGAACTTTTAATTTGTGTCGATTCTGGACAAAAGCAGTAGTGTTACTGCCGCCTTATTTCACTGATTTCAAGGGGAATCCAACCCAGTAGAAGGCAAGAATAATCTACAATCTTCTTACTGATGGTCTAGTGGACTTATGTAGGTCATATAGAGGCATTAGTATTAAATTGAGACTGTTTCACAACCAGTAAAAAACTTCTTGCAGTAGGTTTAAGTAAAATGTTAATGAAGGACTTTTACTTTTCATTGAGTATTTGTACTCAAAAACTTTGTAAGTAAAATTAATGCAATAATGTAAAAATATTCTGTTGCAAGTAAACCTGCATTCAAAACTAAGTAAAAATGCAGAAGTATCAGCAACAAAATGTACTTGAAGGAAAAAGTGCAATATTTCCCTAGTGACATATAGTGGAGTAGAAATATAAAGTAAATGTAAAGTACAAGTATCTCAAAATTGCATTTAAGGAACGATACTAAAGTAAATGTACTTAGTTGTTCTCCACCTTCAGGTCTGACATGCGGCTATATAGTAAACTTGAGTTTATGTGCTACAACCCTAAGTGAGATCTTTTCCATGTAGGTAATAAACCTCAGTGTCCTGTGACGCACATTGGGAAGAGGTTTGCGAATCCAAAAACAAAGGCCCAGATTTACTCATTCATCCACAATGACGACCTTCTGCATGCGTTTACCTCGTGTGATGAAAGTCATCCAGCAATCTTTATTCCAAACAGGAATTTAAGAGCAAGGATAGATGACTCCGAACATATGCGCTTACAAATGGTTATACTGCACTATGTTCTGTATGTGTGTACATATCCGAACACTCTGCTATGAACAAACATCATAAAAACAGAAAATAGCCCTCATCCTCAGTGTAACACCTGATATTATCAACTTTAAACGGGCCACGCTGCTGATGGATGTGTGTTTTAGTCACATGATTGAACCAAGCTGTGAGTAATGAGGTCAGGTCTGTCCAGGAAAATGTCTAGACTGGATTTGTTGTCACTATAAGTAATGTAGCCACAGTTTCACACAAATGTGCATCAGTACACGTATACACCACCTACATTATGTATCATCATCATAGGAACACTTTATTATCCTAAACACAGAAATATTATCTTCTTTTCTCTCGGGTGTTTTCTTTGGTTCATGTTTGTCCTCGGGGGGAACAGATCCACCTGTGTGCGTGCTTCTGCAGCCATCACACATATTGCTGTCAGTTTTAGCACCGGGAGTCCAGGCCAGGGTGGTTTACTCCACGTCCACCTGTTAGAGCGTCACAACAATCACCTTGTCACTCCATTTCCACAAGACACGCACATGACAGATTACGTGTAGCTGAAGCCTGGAAGAACGGTTGTTATTGTAACTGTGGTCGATAAAACAACAAGTTAAGCCCAAAGTTTCCACAACTGGAACTCAAAATGACCCAAATCCCTTCAACTTTCTGACTGAGCCTATAGACTTATTTTGACATCCAGATGTTCCTTTGTTCCTCTAATGAAAGAAATATTAGTTTTCAGTGTACTTTGGAAATTAGGAGCCCCAAAAGACACGCACCTACCTGACCTGTTCTTTATTTAGCTGTGGATAATAAGCTGTTCACACTAACTAACTCTGTGACAGGATGAGGTATTCTCTCAGGGGAAATGAGAAATTATTCTGGCCTATTTATACGTGTGGAAACATAGGTGATATCAGCACATGCCTCAGGCCTCATGCGCTGTAAATCTAGTGCTAATAGCCTAAATCTTGTGGTTAGTCTGTGACCTACTAAGGAATCTACTCGAGGTAAAGCGAGTGCAGCTATTTCAGAGCAACAGGACAGATATATGTTCAAAAGAGAACTTTCTGTTTCTAAAATAGATGCAAGGAAAATGGGCTCAATCTGGATTTAGCTCATATGGATTGGTGATATTCTGTAATTCAGGTATTCAGATAAGGACATTAAAGCAATTAAATGTCAAATGCCAGTTAAATCTTGTGTAGTTGGTCCAGTTGAAACTGGGCTACATGAAATCCAGAGTGGCCCAGTTTCTTAATCTATACTCCCCGACAAACAGGCCCTGCTATCCCTCTTCATTAGTGGTTTGTGTACCTTTAAAAAAAAAAAAAAACAATACTCACTCCTCAAAGGATGAATATACCTACTGTATGAGCTGCAAGCATTTCAAAGAGAGAAAAATACAATTTGCTTTTCACATTTCTTTATTCTCCTCCTTTACTATCTTGTTAACAATCCCAACAAAACCCAAATGTATATTTGTGTTGTCTCCTGTCCCCTTGACCAAACCCCACACACCCTTCTTCCCTTTGTCTCCATCACATTTGGTCATTTTGATATTAATCCTGTAACGTCCATTTACATACTGTCTATTGTATTGTCCATGTATAAAAGTACCTT